AAGAGATGTTTTGCAATTAAAGTATTTGCGTTTGGATTTATGAAAGTTATTGCGTTTATCTCTGCATTCTTTTGCCAAACCAAGGTTTGTGATCACGTCGTGCGCTTGATTCATTTTTAAACGTGCGTTTCACACCGAACGTGGCACGTGTAGCATTGGCAAGCAGATTCGCTACTCCAGAGGCAAATTCATTGATTGCACGTGCTGTGTCATCGTGACCTGTTGTCGATTGCAATATGTGTGACGATCTGGAGACATTATAGCTGTTGATATTATCTGCAAATAATTGAGATGAATTTATGTCATAGCGCTTAGGTTTCTGGATATTGCCATTTGGGGTTACGTTTGTATCAATATTGTGAACCTTAAAATCTTTTTCTACTATTACATCATTGAAACCTAAGTTCAATGAGAACATGATTGGAGAGTGGATATCTGATTAAAGGGCTGAAAATTAAGTAATCTCAAAATCTCTGAAAAGTGGTAGGCATAATGATGAGGATAGGACATAGTCAACTAAACTTAAATCCTTACAAGTGACTTTGCCAACATATTTATCTTGATCTAATCTGCCATTACAAATGAACATATTGGTGTTTTACATAGTTGTATTAATTTGAGGCCTGGTGCATTTGTTTTACCCTTATCTTGGTTTGCTATTAATATAGGTAGGGAGGCTGTGCAAAGGATATTGTCAGGTTCATAAATATCATTCATTGTATCAATATCAATACCATGTTCTTCAATGATATGTTTGTCGATATTACAAAAGTCTTTCAGATTACTTATCCTTGCATTAAAGTCTCCCATAAGCAAAAGGTAATCACTTTTACTTTGCATATGTAGGACTGATTGCTCTAGAACAGGGTACGTATCCTCTGTAGCATATTTAGAAGTGAGGTGAGGTGAAATTGGGTTTAACGTCGTGCTTGAGAATATTTCGCTCATATGACGACGTGCATGCGTGTGTATATGTATGTGCGGCTGCTTGTACGAGCCCAGACTTAAGCTGGTTTTATAGTGCTAGCCCACTGAGATACCCCACTCAGACACATTATACTGACTCCGAGCCGACCAGTCCTTAATGTACCCAGCGCCAGGCAGGGACCAACAAGTACCATATTTTAACGTCTTTTGGTATGACGCATATTTAGAGCTTTCAGGGGGTAAATATACGATTCCAAAATACAAATCATTATCAGTCTTCAACAAATCTTTAGATATGCTATACCATATAACATATTCACATTCATCATTCACTAATGAAATGAAGTCCAAATACAATTTTCTAACAGCTAACCCAATACTACCAGATTTCCTTATGAATCTTGATCGGTGGTGAAGATACAATTCATAGCCATCAATTTCTGGTTCGTCCAGTGAATCTGTTTTTGTTTCTTGTAAACAAATTAGGTCAGCATTTTGTAAATAAGAAGTGAATTCTGGGTAATGGAGCTTTCTTCTAAGTCCACAAACATTCAGATTGATAAAACTCAATTTGTTAGTGTGGGTAATCGGGTGGTTACATTCAGAGATGTTTAATGCTTGTATTTACATTTCCATACAAACTTTGTTCACATGATTGATCTATTCTAGTTTCAGCATATACAGGTACTATAATACCAGTACTACTTGTAGTTGCATTATTATGCTTACAGTTAACAGTGTTACCTGATTGCTCCTTTCTAGGAACAGAATGGGTAACTTTACTATTTGTAATACTCTTTGTATTACTACAGAAACTATGAACATTACTACAAACTTGGTCTGTAGCATATTTACAATTTGAAGGAAAGTCACTGCATGTTTGTTCTACATGTGTACGAGTAGAACACAAGTTCTCGTGACCACCAGCGCACCCCTATTGCCTGGGGTGGGATCCAGCAGCGTTACCCATAGTTGTAGTGGGGACCCTGTAGGGTGGGGGGACAGCCACAGATTGAAGTTTGTTTTCCACATAGAGTTTGTCTATGCTGATATGCGCTCTCTTGTTAGCTCTTCTGGCACCCCTAAGTAGGGGCATGAGGACCTCACTCCAAAAGGTGCTCACCTCATCAGGGAACTGCTCAAAGATGCTGATGTCCAGTCCCTTGAGTTCCCTCCCAGCCCTCTTGACAGCATCCCTCTCCACAGTGTATATAAACTTAGCTATCATGGGGCGGGGTCTTACACTACCTCCTTGGGAGGGGGGTCTCCTTACTTGGCCAAGACGATGTACCCGTTTAAAGCTGATATCCTCACTGTTACTTAGGTGTAGTTTATCTTTGATAAACCGTCGAAGGACCTTCTCACACTCCTCATAACTAGAGTCTAGCTGTTTCTGGGATATTCGTGAAGATGAGGTTATCCCTCATACCCCTACACCTCGTGTCAATAATGGCCTCCTTTAGCCTCAGATTCTCAATCTGTGAGGATGCCTGGGCTTTAGCTTGGGACGAGATATGCTCTTCCAGAGATTTTATGTCTTGTTTTATTTGTATATTTTCACTCTCCCATGAATCAAAGCTATCACTGATGAACGTCACACTATCTACTAGTTTATCAACTCTCCCCCTCACCTCCTCGAAATCCTTTACCCTCAGCTCTATCGACGCTATATTACACTTGATAGAAGATATGTCGGACTCAATCTTGTCTAATTTAGCCAATCTTAAGTCCATTCTCTCCAGCATAGCCATTATGTGTGCTAGATCGGCCGAAGTCAGGGTGGGGTTAGGGTGTATCGGTGGCTGGGCACCAGCGGGGGTGGTGGGGTCCGGGTGGTCGTGGCCCTGGGTGTCTGGGTGGGTCTGAGGGTGCAGTACCTGTTGCTCCGAGTGTGGGGTATCCGTTGGTTGTAGAGTCAGACTCGTTACGCTCCTCTCTCGTGATGCGGGTGGACTCGGGGTATCCATGTCGGCAAGGTTTGGGTCGGTCTCGCTCACTGACGACAGCGATTTCTTCTTGCGCTTGTTTGGCTTACGGTAGTTACTATATTTACTTCTAGGCATCTCAGTATGTACCTAGTACAGTCTCAGAACAGGTCACGGGTAATGATACAATATAGAGACAGGAAAAAAGCACAAATCATTGCTGACATGAGATCGGCGATATGGTACCCGCTATCTTGCCACCTCACAATCAACCATGGTACCATGTCTACATTGAGGTACATGTTACCTTGGTACCATGCCTACAGTCAGGTACATGTTACCTTGGTACCATGTATACAATCAGGTACTTTACCCTAGTACTGTGTATACAATCGGTTCTTTACCTTGGTACCATGTATACAGTCAGGTACATGTTACCTTGGTACCATGCCTACAGTCAGGTACATGTTACCTTGGTACCATGTATACAATCAGGTACTTTACCCTGGTACTGTGTATACAATCGGTTCTTTACCTTGGTACCATGTATACAGTCAGGTACATGTTACCCTGGTACCATGTATACAGTAGGTACTTTACCTTGGTACTGTGTATACAGTCAGGTACATGTTACCTTGGTACCATGTATACAATCAGGTACTTTACCCTGGTACTGTGTATACAATCGGTTCTTTACCTTGGTACCATGCCTACAGTCAGGTACATGTTACCTTGGTACCATGTATACAATCAGGTACTTTACCCTGGTACTGTGTATACAATCGGTTCTTTACCTTGGTACCATGTATACAGTCAGGTACATGTTACCCTGGTACCATGTATACAGTAGGTACTTTACCTTGGTACTGTGTATACAGTCAGGTACATGTTACCTTGGTACCATGTATACAATCAGGTACTTTACCCTGGTACTGTGTATCCAATCGGTTCTTTACCTTGGTACCATGTATACAGTCAGGTACATGTTACCCTGGTACCATGTATACAGTAGGTACTTTACCTTGGTACTGTGTATACAGTCAGGTACATGTTACCTTGGTACCGTGTGTACAGTCAGGTACTTGACCTTGGTACCATGTATACAGTCAGGTACATGTTACCCTGGTACCATGTATACAGTAGGTACTTTACCTTGGTACCGTGTATACAGTCAGGTACTTTACCTTGGTACCATGTATACAGTCAGGTACTTTACCTTGGTACCATGCCTACAGTCAGGTCCATGTTACCATGGTACCGTGTATACAGTCAGATACATGATACCTGTATCAAATAAACAGTCAGGTACATGTTACCATGGTACCATATATCGAGTATACAGTCAGGTACATGTTACCATGGTGCTGTGTCTACAGCCGGTTACATGGTACCATGTATACAATCAGGTACATGTTATCTTGGTTCTATGTTCTGTGTAACCTTTTAGCCAGTAAATGAATTTGTCTTTGGTTGGGCTTTTGCATGCTAAGTGAGCATAAAGAGATGCAACTTTTGAAAAAAAGGTAACAATTAGCCCTAAAATGTGGTGACAAACTACTTATTCACAAAGATTATTTTCAACATCATAGTTTGAACATCTGGAGACCTTGTGTTTGATTGTTTAACATATTCATCACTATACTTTATGTCTGTGGCCTGCAACAATAACCTAGTCTTGACCTGACAAAGCAACGACTGACATATAATTACCATGCCCCCTGGCTATGATAATGCTCTATCAGGACATTTATTGTAATAGTATATTGTTACCATGTGGCCATGAAATATAAATACAAATATTATTCATCTACCGGTGATTGAAATATTGCAAGGCTCCTTCATAGAAAAGTTATTTGACATCCAAGAGTACAATCTACTGTAATTTGGCAATTCCTTTTTACCCAATTTCTAAACACAGAAATTTGATTCCCAACATACCCCAATGAGATATGAATTTTATTCATGCTAAATGTACAATTGTAATTTTTGAAAACAGCAACACTTCCATACAAAAATATTTCATGCATCCATCCAGGATATCACCAGGTACTTTCATTTAAAGATGATCCAACATCTATGTGGTACAATCTACAGTTATCTAGCATGTCCTTTAGTAGATGGTCTGATTCAAAATCACGACATGGTGGCCATAAGGTATGAACTTTATTCATGCATAATGTACATCTGTAACGTTCAAAACAACAATGTGATGATGAAGATGAGATTGAGTGACAGGCGTCATTCACCTGTCAAGTGAGTGTTTGAGTGACCGCTGCATGCCAGGAGGGGCCAGGTCCAGGGGAGTCTTCTGGTTCTGAAACACAGATCAATATTCAGCAACGCACAGGCACAGAAAAGTTGTGCGGTGATTAATGTCCCTTCAATTTAGAATACCCACCGAAATGCAGCAGCTGGTTATATGTTATAAGACAAATTATGACAAGGCCCAGGCTTTTAATGTATTACCAAATCCAACAAGCACAGACAAGTGTTGAGAGATTGACCCTTGAATACTTCAGAGCAGCTGAGCCTGGCAGGGAACTCGGCACAGCTAAGTCTACTACAAAATCTCTGCATGCTTCATCTTTTTGAGATAGGCTCCTTTGAATTTAGTATTGTAAATCACAAACATATTGCTACACAGATAATACATACTATACTACATAGATTATGTCTTACCAACACATATCTCAAAACGACTCAAGCATAGCAATCACAGCAGAAATTTATATGCAACAATCACAAAATACTGATACATCAAGTGTAATTATAGTTAAAAAAAATAAACTAGTAACCTGTCCAATGTTATGTGTTTTAACCATACATCATGGATCTGCCACACATTGAGGTGAGACAATAGTCACGTGAGTACCCAACTCAGACACACAAAGCTGACTGCTCATTGATTTATCTATCATGTCAAGCACTTGGCAGGGATACAACAAGTATGTTCATGTCTTTTTGTTTGGTGCAGATGGGAATTGAACCACAGACCTTGGTACACAGGCAGATCCTCTATTCACTACACCACAGAAGCAGTTTCCACTGTTTATAAGCCTGATTATGATTAGCAGTGAGCGAGTAATTGTTAACAGCCCTGCAGGCAAATATTCCCACTATGATCTGCAATAATCAAACCTGCATCAGAAAAACCAGTGACTGATGGCATGAACAACAGTCCATTTGGTCACTACCCTGATGTAACATTTACAAGACCTCACAGTGGTAACATGGGAAATTAACCCCTAAAGCACCTGAAGTTCTACTCACTCCGATGATACCTCTCACATTAGGCAAACTGACACAAGTAAGCGGGCAATTAAAAACAGCCATCCCTGGGACCAGTGACACAAACTCATCCATGTCACTTCACACCATCACCTGATCCTCTGCAAATAGCTCTTATGAGAAGCATGAGGTACACAGGCTATTAAACCCTCTTACGGTCATTTTGAGTTTGTTGTCATAAGGACAGCTGCCATGCTCACCTTGTTCTGAATGTCCAGTCTGGCTCCATACTCCACCAGGAGCTTTCCGGTTCGAACCCTCTCCTCCTCACACACTAGATGACTGCAACAGGCAACACAAGACAAGACTAAGTGTCTTAATACTACCCTACTAGTCTATACATATAACACACAGTCATAATACTACCCTACTAGTCTATACATATAACATACAGTCATAATACTACCCTACTAGTCTATTCATATAACATACAGTCATAATACTGCTTTGATAAACCAACAGTGAGCGAAAGTTAGGCGATTAGGTGCCTGACTCTGAGGGTGTGGGTTCGAATCCAAAATAGGACTCAACCCAACAAAAGTACTAGAATCTGTACTTTACGGAGAAAGTGTAACCCCAAATATAACATATGTTACATTTGACCACTTTCTAAATGGCACTGTGTATTCATAGCTTTCGGCTGTGGGAGCCATGCCAATTTACAGAGGGGTACACAACGTCTGCAGTCTAGACTACCAGTTGTCCGACTTCCATTTTTGAGGAAGTCACGGAGGCTGAGTGGGTTAGGCGGCTGACTTTGTGTGCTGGCGATTAGGTGCCTGACTCTGAAGGTGAGGGTTCGAATCCCGGATGGGACTCAACCCAACAAAAGTACTAGAATCTGTACTTTACGGAGAGAGTGTAATCCCAAATATAACATATGTTAGACTCTCCATAGAACCTTCAAACCAGGTGGGCAAACACCTACTCACAGCGGAGTGTTTCCCTCCGAGTCAGATCTGTTGGGATCTGCCTCATGCTGCAGGAGCAACTTTGTCATCTGAAGATGTCCTTTAGATGCAGCTCTGTGCAAGGGGGTGCTGCCCATTTTGTCCCCCACAGTGACGTCTGCGCCATGGTTTAACAGGAGTTCTGCTATCTGAAATTGGTGACAGTAATTCCATTATCATAGGTTACAATGCTAAATATTCATCACAGATAAGTTTGGGGTTAAATCTTGCATCAAGATATGCATAACTTTAAATTCTACTTGAATACAAAAGGAAACATTCCCAATCATACCCAAAATCTGTCAAGCCTTGAACACAATTATATTGTTAATGCCATGGAATTTCAATATTTTTAATATTGAAGTTCAATGTTGTCATCTGTCGAGACAATTATTCTAAAATGTTACATCACTGAGAAGATGTTCACACTGAGTTTGTCCTGCAGACCTGCCTACTTGACAATTGGTGTACAGAAATTCTCTATACAAAGGGACATCACTCTGTTTCCAACATTCATATTTTTAGACATTTCAATTGGAATGGAACAATGTTACAGACATTTGCATCGGCAGCAGTGACATTGAGTCGACATTCTATTTGGATGTCAGACCTGGAAATATCTTAACATGGCTATTTGGTTTCAGTAAAAGGGATTTCCAGTTCTTCAAAAAATGTTTGAACACTAATATAAAGACAGTCAAGTACCTCGGTATGATCCTTTGATGCTGCGTAATGCAGAATGCACTGTCCAGTCCTGTTGACTGCATTCACTAGGGCACCTCTGCTAATGAGGTTAGACACTATCTCCATTCTGCCAGCTGAAACTGCTATCATCAGAGGTGTCCAATCTGACTACATAAAAAATATAACAATAGGTACCATCAAAATAAAAAAGAGAAGTATAAATACAACTATACATTAGCATAGATCACCATATACAAGACTGAGGTACTCAACATCATCTTTTATTCCATCAACAGTTAAAGTGTGGAACAATATTCCCTTAGCTATTAGAAATTGCGACTCTGTTGCCTTGTTTAAACCTTATATCACGTGAAGGAAAATGCACACCTATATATTATTCATATGGAATAAGGAAGTTCAATGTCATGCACACTAGATTAAGATATAGGACGAGTACACTTAATTATGATTTATATAGAATAAATGTAAAAAATGACGCATCATGTCAATGTGGCCATAGATGTGAGAATGTTTTTCATTACTTCCTTGAATGTCCATTGTATACTATTCAACATATTGTCAAAAATAGAACACTGATTGATATTAATCTTATCTTACATGGCAATGCAGGTCTCTCAATCACTGAAAACCAGAATGTTTTCAAATATGTACATATCAATATCTCTCAAACAAAACGCTTTCTCAGTTAACATCTGTTGTACATATCCTAGCCTATGTCTGTCACTTGTGTACTTTGTTGTAAGATGAATTGTGTAATTATCTGGAGAGGGCTTTTCTAAGTTGGATAACTTGTGCCCAATCCTTTTCTTGAATGAATAAAATATGTTTAAAACAAATAGATCACCATAGTTTTGTATTCCTAGTCACTGTAAATAGAATGTCAAATGTTGTAGAGGATTTTGTAAATATGATATCTCTTGAATACATACTGTCTTTCCATATGCTGTACCTAATGACTCAGTCAAGTTAATACCATCACAAGCCTACTATCATTCCTTAAAAACATATGCATACAGCACAATAGAAACATGTTAACGGTTACAATTTGTGTATTGATGCATATGTTAAACATTGTGTGGTATTTAATGTACTGTTACTCACTTCATCTCTGGCATCAACTGGAGCACCAATTCTTAACAGGTAGTCTGCTACCTCTGTATGTCCACCTGATGCAGCCCAGTGGAGTGGCATTCTCTGGCTCTATTGTAAAGATAAAATAGGTCTTTTCAAATAGATAAGGTGTCATATGAACACAACAGGGTGTGATTATATTAACAATTTTATTGATATCAGATCTTAGTTCTTGCTACAATCCATTTGATTTCATTTGAGACCGATGAATTGCTCACTAACACAAAATCTAATAATTGCAGCAAAACCAAAGTTTGCACAGCTATATGAAATCAACAGACAAACTAAGATGATTTGTCTCAGAATTTTGGACACCCGAATACAAAAATTATTTAACAAACGATCATTATTTTGTTGTCACTTTTCGCTACTTTTTATGAGGGGGGAACCACTCACTGGTAGAACAGCCAGGTAATCAACAAGCGTGTGTAGTGAAATTTCAAATTCACTCGGCAACTCGCACACCTGGCTTTTCTACCAGCAAGTGGTTGGTCTGTCGATTTCATATGGCAGTGCAAAATTTGGTTTAGCTGCAATTATTAGATTTTGTGTTAGTGAGCAATTCATCGGTCTCAAATGAAATCAAACGGACTGTAGCTGTAAACAAACTCAGCTGTAGCAAGCACTATGGCCTGATTATTCAATGAGATTGACGTATTAATGACAGAGGATTCACCTGAGAGAATGTGTAGGCCCTTATTACTGTAACTAGTGACCTAAATTGCAGTCTAGATGAACCAAATGTGTTTTCAAATGCAGGTTTTACTGGCTATATTCAAATTTCACTTGGCACTGACAGTGTTAGTCTGAGATTCCAAATTTTAAAATTTCTCAGCATTGACTGGTCAAAAACACTGGGCAGACAACAGGAGTTTTTAGTAATTGAAACATTTTGATTAAATGTCTGAATGAAGGAACCACAGAGGTAAAGATTTTTGCACATAAAACCCCTTTTATCATGCTTATATACAATCTGGATAGCAATGAGATGAGTGGATAGTTAAAGGTGTTTGATACATATTATAAGACTGAATTGATGTTCAAACAGTTACATTTACAAGCATTACAATGGCCTGACCAGATATTCTGATAACTACAGGTGTGTACTCACACTTGCTCACTGGCATTAATAAACCTAATTCCAACCTACATTAGAAAAATCATAATAGCAACAACAAACCTAAATTAACCTATCGTACGATTTGAACACCAATTGATTTGTTACAACCTCAACCTCAATATAGAATGGACAATGTTTCATACAAAAACCGTGCAAATTGAATTGATGTGTACATTGACTAAAAGTCAAATGAAAGTTATGGCATAACTTAGACATTTGTGTCCAGTAATGATTTCATAGCAGAGCTTGGTGAATAAAGGATATGGACTAATGCATAACACCTTGAATATAGCAGCACGATGTCTCTGACAATCAGATAGAGAAAATCATTAAAAAAATACACTGGGAACATAGACCTAATAAGATTCAGTGTTAAAGTCCGCCAAACCTAGAGACGACAATGAGTGAGTCATTCTTAGATCGTGCTGCACGTTAACACATTCCATTTTTAACCTGTGCTGCTTATCTTCATGCAATGCACTTAGTGAAATTAGGTCTAGGGCGGTCATCTGTTTTAACGATAAAAAGACTGGGTCTAAATAATTCAATTTCGCTGCGTCACTGTACGCTAACTGTTTTTCCACGTTTTCCCATATGCCGCGCTTAAAATACATTATAAAAATAATGATGTACATACAGTGTCATACTGAGAGCACAAACTTTCATTTTTTTGCAGTTTTTGTTGCAGTAAATGGAAATTTCCATCATATGCAAGTTTGCACACTTCGTCTTGCAATGTTTTGGTCGCCATGCTTGATTTATCCACTTCCGGAGATGTTAAGAACACAATTTTTGATTGGTCGTATTTCTCTCATTTTGTCCAATTAGATAAGTCGTCTTTTACTGGTATGGTACCTCGGAAGTCTACCTGTGCAGGTGCTCTTCGAAGTTATTTCGTTTTAAAATTGACAATCTCTGACCAAGGCCATAATATTTGGGCTTCAGAGTCGAATTAGGTTGGATGGCTACACATGGAAGAGCACTGTGGAGGCAGGACAGTTTCCAGTTTTGGTGGCGAGAGGTAAAGAAGCGTCGAGTTCAACAGAAGTCTGATCCGATTTGTTGACATAAGAGATAGGATGGTGCGAGATACCCCAGGTGTCCAGAGTTGGAATATCCAACCAAAGAAAAACTGTTTATATCAAGAGTAATGCTGAAAATCGAATATGTCCAGGCTCCATGTACGCCTTCAGATTCAGTTCCCTTATGTGAAAGTTCTTATTTTGGGGATCGTGATATCACTCCTCGGATTGGGTGAAGTGGTGATTGGTGTTTTAGCTTTCACCCATAAAATATGGGGACATTATCTTGGAACAGGATTATGGTGTGGAGTGGTTATGTTCGTCTCTGGCATATGCGCAATAAGTGCATCCCAGATAAGGGCACCCTTAAGTGCAAAGATCTATTTTGCTACAGCAATCGTTGGAGTGATTGTGTCGTTTGTAATGGTCATTCTGTCGTCTGGTGGACTTGATTATGACAGCAACTTCTATCATTTTGGAACTTTTAATCCAGAAATACAACAGAAGAAGCATAATTCTACTGTCATGGTCCATGGTTTGGCACTTGGATTCAGCATTTTCAGTTTTCTTGCAAACATCATATCAGTTATCATCTGTTTGAAGTATGTTATATTTGACAAGAAGGTCAAGTATACAACTGAAAGGACATCCAGGAAGGCTCCAAATTCTCTTCAAAGAAACGTTTTACGAGGAGGTGCAACAGATGCTAGATCCAGCACCAGCAGCAGGGCACCATTAGCAGAACGATCTTCGCGTAGAAATCATTCCCGAAGAGGAAGTGACCATGGAAGCAGACGTGAAGCAGAGGAGTTTCTTCCAGGTGGATCCCGATCTGATTCATCACGAAGGACCAAAGAACGAAGACATCGTAGTCAAAGAGGAGAAGAACGAAGACAAAGAGGAGACTATGGTACTCCTCGTGATAATGCTAGAAGGAACGAACGATCTCGAAATCAGAGAAATGAAATTCCAGTTCCAGTTCAAGTTGAACGGATGACTATTTATGATGGTATTACAGAAGCTGATGTTGTTCATAATGATCTGTTACCTACAGACTTTGACGAAGAAGAATTACCACCATATGAAGAAGCTATTCGGGACACCTATGTGCAAGTCGCTGATATCAATAATCAAGTTCTTTCTATTAATGCTCACAATGACTCAATGAGAGCCAACATGGGAGACCAGGTAGTTGTGTGTGATATTGATGAGGATAAGATTTATCAGAATGTGAATTGCAGTGATGATGAGAATGAGATTCATCAGAGTGCACCTGTTATTGAACCTGAAGTAACTGTTCACTCTGGATCTGCTAGAGAAAGGGACACTGCACTTGTGGAAGGGAATAATATTAATTTCAACACATCAACAGTTTCACAAGGAAACAAATCTAGTACTCAAGTGAAATATTTCCAAGAGCGAAATCAGAGTAAGGATAATGATGAAATTGAACTTTATGTTAATCAAAGTGTTATACCTAAACAAAATAAAGGCAATGGGAGACCTAGGGGTGAAAGAGATACATCCAACATTCGAACCCATCATAAAGCATCCTCGTTCTCAAGCTCGGGTCTCTGTGATCAGGTTAGTGACAATGGTCCTCAAGCCAGAAGATGTATATCAGCTGGCCATTCAAGCTCCCTACCTCCTGGTATCCCTCCCCCCCAAACCACCAAGATTCTATTCTGATCTTCAGGATATTTTGGACAGTTCCAGATCAGACTCCAGTCTAGATAGAAGTGGTCTACGAGGTGTCACTAGTGATAAAACTTACATGAATGTTGATGATGTTAATACAAACTCACATCGCAATATGTCATCCAAACTAAATGGACCGAAACTGAACATGATGAAGGACATGGATTCTGGTAGAAATAAGAACTCGCGTTATAAGGCAGATTATATTCAGCTTCAGATTCGACAGGAACCGGAAGGAAGTAGTGGTCTTGGTGGCAAGGAAGGGTTTACATCCACTGCTTCAACGTCCAAAATGGGAGGCAGATTTGAAGAAGTTCTTGCTCACTCCTCTCCTAGACAATCACCTGTAACCAGAAATGGGAAATCGTTTACTAATAATCTTCCTAATGAGAAAGTTAGGTCGAGTGAACCACCAAAGAACCTTGGCATAATGTCAGCATCAGATATAAAAGGAAAATCCATACCAGATTCAAATACTCAAAATGCAGACAGTGCTATAAAGCAGAGGTCAAGTGGTGATCCTGCTGAAGGGAAAGAATCACCAACTTCACCATCATCTGTGAACAGTGTAGACATGTCTGGGTTCTCTCCAGTAAGGTTTGCTTCACCGACGTCCGCGTTTAAACCATATAAACGTGGGGACTCCACAACAAGCTCAGGGGTAACATCTCCCACGTCGGACTCAGATCTAATGAGCTCCCCTTCAAAGGTGCCTGAAGTATCTGCCACCTTGCCTCATTCATTCAGCAACAAAGCTGTACAAAGACAGACATCATGGAAAGACTTCATGCTCCCATCACCTCACCACAAATCTGATCAAATTCATTCATCAAGCACCAATACAGACACAAAGAAAACCTCAGCTGTTCTATCACAGCCACCAAAACACAGCAGTCCAACGGTCATGTCTATGAACACATTCCCTAGACAAGCTCAGCCCACCCTTAGGATTTCCCCCTTGTCCATAGTGAGGAGTGTTGGTTCTACAGGAACAAGCACAGTCTTGACCACTACTGCTGCCAGAGAATCTGTTACTGCTAGTGCTTTTCCAAGTGTGTTTTCAAGTGGTAAAGGTAATTTAGTTATGCCAACATCATCTGCATCAAATCCAAGAAACATGTCAACCTCATCATCCAGTGTGACATCAGGATCTTCCAATCCAAATGTGGGTCGGAGCAGTGGTGCAGGTCTGATTTCTTCAGTCCCCATAAGCTCACAGAGCAGTCCATGGTCTGCCAGAGATGCGTCCAGTGCCAGCAGCAGCAGCCCGTTCCGACCTTCCAGTAGCTACACTACTGCCGACAGAAACAATACAATGCCTCATAGTTTTTTGCGTCCAAGTATTAGTGCAGTTGCACCAAACATTAGCAAAGGCAACTCTAATGTGCATCCCAGTGAGAGACCTTACAGTGCTCACAGTCACGTGGGTTCTAGGGCTTATGCTGGTGGTTATTCAGGGGAGATGCAGCGAGTTCAACATCCTGGGCCTAGTGCGGCTCGGGCTCCAACTTTCCAAAGGGATCAAGGCCCTACACAGGGTCAAGGTCCTTCACGGGATCAAGGTCGTACACAGGGCCAACGTCGCTTAGATGTGGTTCCAAATCATGGTGTCATTCAGGGCCAAGCAGCATTGGTACATCTGCCACCTCAGGTACTCGCCAATCCTCGACAGGGACCACCTCAACAACAACAACAACCCCAACAGCAGCAGCAGCAGCAGCAGGGAAAACCTCTGTTTTCTATTATTCTGTGAGAAAGTGTTGGACAAAATATGAAAAATATGTTTCACATTGTGTGAAGGGATCGTGTCTCATTCATCCATGTTCAAAATTGTGAAAACTTTACTGTGTGTCATGACCTCCAATTATGCTGCAGATACGACCATTAAAACTTTTATTTATGAATTGTAGCGCAGTAGGGACGACTTGTCAGCATTGCACATGCTATGTTTTTAAGCAGACATGTTGATTATTTGTGTTTCTGTTATCATGACTGATGCAGTGATTGTGAATATACACTGCTCTGAAAACAATAGAACTTTCTGGAATATATCAGAAGTACACTGTTTGTCCTGAATGAAATAGTTTATTGATTTTAAGCATATATTGATTTTTTCAGTATGGCTATCACTAGTACATCTAGTGTATGGAAGTGGCAACAAAGTTTAATTTCAGATTTTTAGCTTAAAAAATATGGCAATCATGTTAACTTGCAATATAAAGGAGTGAGACATTTCAAAAAGAGTATTTATTAGTTTTTGCTAGCCAGTATGTGATGGTGCTTTGTGCTAGAATGGCAGCTGAGATTTCAATAATGTTGTGTATCTGGGTACGTTATACATGATTTCAACTTACACAACTCAAACTATGGAAAGGTTTGCCTCTTTGTGGTCCCCCGTGTGACGCTGTGTGTGTCAGATCACTCCATATTTAATCATGATGATGGTATATTTTTTAACTTCATTTTACCCTTTATCATGCTTATGTATTACTATGATCATGCTAAACAAACAATGTTTGTCAAGCGTTGGAATTATGGGGCTTCACAAAGTAGGTCTCGTGAGCCAGTTTTGAGCACACTTCAGTGCATGAAAGTGTCACCATCTTGTTTTTATGGCACATATTATATGTGTGTGTATATACCTGGTAGATATGATATCTGAGGATGTTTGTTGTTTGCAAGCTTGGCATATTTATAGTAAGCATTTGTTCTAACATTGCCATAGGCAACACAGCATTACATGGGTTACGATCACATCGATTTCAACATTAGGGTCTGTTCATTTCCATAGAGATTAATGTGTTGTCTGGTATGTGTGTTATTTTTCAAAACTGAACTACAGGGTAAACCTTATTTGTCATATTTTTGTAGAATGTATCCATGCAACAGAATTGGAATTTAATCAACAAATTTGTTTGTCTGTCGTTGGGGATTGTTTCCATTGTTTCTGTATGCCAATTCTTCATGTTTTTAGAAATCATCGCCGTTTCACACTATTATATTTTTGTAAGAATATAATGAAACATTTCATTCTTGTCTACTACTACAATGAACTCCTATATTACTTTATATC